CCTTAGGAAGAAAATAAAACAGCTTAAAAACTTTCACACTGAGCTACCGACTTGTAGTTGCTGATTCTAAATATGAATTTCACAAGTTGTAATAATGCTTCAATAAAAAGTTATGCGAGGTGAGCAGTAACGGCCGTTCTATATTCCTTAGAAGTGGAGTTACATTGCTCAGAAAGCTTCGTAAACTTGTACCGTGGTTCAGCATTGAACTCAGCGCCAGTGGATATTCTATTACACAAATTTTCACATTTTTTGAAAATTTTTGGAACTGCAGCTTTTCAACAGTGACACATTAAAGGCACCGTCCACCCAAAATTTCAACCTCCATGTTTTTGCCGTTCCAGGGCCTTCTCATACCCCTGATGCCGAATATCAAGTTGAAAATCCGCGAAAACCACGAAAACCCCCGTTTTCAGAACTCGCAAAGCGACTTCCTCGGTACGGTGATTGGTTGGGCGCGCACGGATGGGCGGGACGAACGTCACGCCCACTCCGAAAGGGGAGGAGCCAGCGTCGCGAAAGCGGCCTGAAGCGATTTCCGAAGCAATTTTCTCGGTTCGGAAGCCACTTCAGGCAGCGCGAGTTGGGCAATCATTTAGTTGGAAGCCCCGCATCTGCTAAGTATCATAATCTCACCAACCCCAATTTGGGTGGACGGTGCCTTTAAGCTTAAAGTTTCTGCCATAATCCTACGGTGATGAAGAGCGATCGGTAGTTTGTTCTAACTGCAAAAATAAGTTAAAGCCAGTTCTACAAAATGGTACCTAAACCATCTCGAAATACTTCATTACAATAGAGTCATTAACAATCAAACAGTAGGCACATTTTGGGACGCCCTGTATATTATTCGCAGAGATGCAGAACCCTCAACATTCATGCTCAGGCCATGAAATCGCGCTATCCAAAGTTGCCTTATAATTCTCTCAAAAATGATGTTACAAAAGATCTGTAAGATCAAATGATCTCACATATAGCACACACAATTTTTGTGGCTCCTCAGATGCAGTTTAGACCTGCTTGGACGAATTTTGAGTTGAATTATCGTCCATGGAAGGGGACCCTGGGGTCAAATACTCACAAGTAGCATCGAAAAGATTCAGCACGTTGATATTATCCCACTACGCTTTCAGAGCATTTTGAGCATTTTTCAGAGTGATAATTCTTTTTCGAGTCCGAAATAGGAGCTGTATTGAAGATACCTCCGTATCTTAACAAAAAAATTTCGAATTTCTTGCCCAACTCATCCATTACCTACATTCATAACTCCAAAGAAAATTTTTCAGGATCATACAAGAAAGAGAGGTGTAGTGTTTTGTACTATCAAGGGATGCATGTTTAGTCGAAGTGACCTCTTTAGATGCGATCATCATATTGAAAAGTATAAAATGCTGATTCTAAATCTGTCTTTTTTACCTGCAGAACCGTTTAATGACGAAGAGTTATGAGCGCTTTAAAACACAAAAAAATTGGATGTTCCATAATATTTTTTTCTATCTTTTCGTTGGAGCGGTGGTAATCATCAAAGCACTCTATTCAACCAATACTCAGAAAAATATATTAGGTCGTTTCAAAAGTATTTTCGCTTTTTTCAAACGGGCACCACATTTGACGGAATAAAGATTTCTAAGAGATCTTTGAAGCATTCGATGCAGAATTTTATTCTCTTTCTAAAAGTTATGAAATTGTTGCAAAACAGTCAATGACCTTTCAGAAAATAACCAAAATCTGCGACCCATGCTTTTTGAGATGGTCAAGTTTTACAATTTTTTAAAACTTTCATATCAATCCTCAGAAGGAGTTCAAGAAAGGATTCGATAGAGTAAACCTTATAGAATACAGCACTACTTCCTTCTCCTTTCCATAGCTTGTCATACATTTTTGACAGAATTTTAACTGATGCTACCGATTTCCATACTTGGGCAGCTAAATCCTCGTAGAATATCAAAAGAAGAGCAGCCGCGCAGTGTTCGATGCAGCATTTTCTCCTCTTTCTAACAGGTGTTTTTTGTTTCCGATTCGTTTAGTTTCCGGGGAGAAATCATAGTGACTCATTTTTTTAGCGAGCCCCAGGCTGTACCCGAAAAACCCGAAATTTGATATTTGGAATCCGTAAACTCTCACTTGCATTGAAAAACCAGTATTAAGTCATATACCATTTTGTAATTTTCAAATTCCGAATAATTACCGTTGTTTGATACGATTGTGGCTGACGTAGGCCTGCCAAAATCCGATGGTTTTCTTGAAAAATCTTATAAAAAATTACGACGAGCTAGGAAAAAGAGGAAATGAAGTGTTGTTTTCTATAATGTTTACTCTATCGAATCGTTACTTAAACTCCTTCTGAGGATTGATATGAAAGTTTTTAAAAACCGTGAAACCTGGCCATCTCAAAAAGCATGGGTCGCAGATTTTGGTTATTTTCTGAAAGGTCATCGAATATGCTGCAATAATTTTATAATCATTAGAAAGAGGACGAAATTCTGCATCGAATGCCTCCAAGATCTTTTAGGAATCTTTGTTCCATCACATGTGGCCTCCGTTTAAAAAAAGCGAAATTACTTTTGAAACGACCTTATATATCACACTTTGTTGGATTATTTGAGGGCTAGTAAGATTTCAACAACTCATTTTATCCAAAATGCACATTCAGTTTTCCGCTCCAAAAACGCTCATAACTCCTCGTCATAAAGGTTCTGCAGATAAGGAAGCCAGGTGTGAAATCAGGGTTTTATGCCCTTCAATATGGTGCACATCCCATTCAAAAAGGCCACTTCGACTAAAAAAGCTTCCCTTGTAAGTACAAAAAAAGTAGCTAGCTTGCCTATATAACAAAGTTGATCATATTTATGACCATTTCACATGGAATACTTAAACGCTAAATACGGACAATCCATACATTATGCCCCGGCAAAGCCACTGTGCTACGGTAGGTTGAGATAATGCAGGATTATTGACAAACTCTGGGAAGAAGGGGGGGGGGGGGGTATCCGACGTTCGCGCGCCAATCCTCTTCCTTAACCCTCATTCTGATAGGCCTTCAAAATCAAACGACTCCAGCTTCCTGTAAAGCCTGCACTCGCTAAAACCATCAACAGAAAGCAAGAGCAGCCTCTGAGAACATGGAGACTTACAAGACTGTGGACATGACATGTGGACTGTTAGAAAATTTTGTTTTCCTCCCCTCCCCCCCCCCCCACCCCGAAATGGGTCGCGAAATTTTTGAAATTTAATTACTTGGGCTATAAAAATGTGCAAGTGACTTGCTCATTCTTGTAAATAATTGAAATAATTTTTAAAATTTTTCAAAAATTCGAATTAGCCTTGTAAAAAGATTTTGGGGTGCGTGGCGGTCACACCTCCTTCTTCTCCTTCTTCTAGATTTCAGGGGTGATGGGCCCGCAAAAATTTGGGAAGCGCCCAAAAAAACTTTTGGAGTGCGTGGCGTGGCTAACCCCGTCATGCACCTTCATTTGAAAAAAAATTTTTGATTTCCCCTCTCCCGAATGGAATCTGCGACCGCCACTGCCTACGGCCTATCGATAATGCGTGCTGCAGTTTGCAGTACGAAATTGTATTTATTCTGAAAAGGTATAACTCAAATAACTTTGGCAAACATAAAATTCAATAAATGGGCACTAAACAGAATCCAAAAATCAGTCAGCCAGGTACAGGGGCCTCAATTTGAGTGTCACAGTTCGCGAACTTGTGGAGTTGGTCAAGCGAGACCTTGAGCCACTCGACGCGTTCGCGCACATGTCTCCTGCATCTTCAAAACTCGTTAGCCATGCCCAGGTATACGATATTTCCCACGCCTCGAGCACCTCAAGTATGAGATATCGCATCCGGGGCAAACACGGCGAGAGACCCGCGAGGCGGCTCACGAGCAAAGCCGACCGTAAGAAACCCCCTGTCGCGAGCAAAGTCGACGGTCAGCGAAGGGAGGGCGAAAACAAATAAACTGAATAAATCCAATCATGCTATCCTTCCTTACTGAAATATCGAAAAAGCCTGGGACGAAATCCAAATAGACGAAACCCTAATCCTAAAGTCCTATTCCTCTTCTTGAGAGACACAGCCTCAGTTTCTTCTGAAGCCGAAACGTATACTGGGGACCTCAGTTTGAGAACACTAAACTTGGCAGCCGGCATCAATTACTGCCTGCTATGTAAGCTACCGTAAATTACTAATGTCTTAAATAAATCCTCGGCAAACAGATATAGATAAATGAAAACTGTGCCATATAGCTAATACGTCACTTTTCCAATGTATTTTACATAACAGCGATTTGCGTGAAGAGTGCAGCAAGCGGTCTATCTTATCTTTCGTTACCAAGTAAACAAGAAACATGCAAGAGCAAAACAGTATCTCAGTCACCATCATGTCATCAGTAAAGTTATTTCGCATGCCAACGGTATCTATCTTGCTCTGAAAAACATGGGCGAGTAAGAAAATCTTTTGAATCGCAAAAAGCAAGGACGATGAAGGCTCTACACCGTATGATCGCTGATATCATATTGAGATTGATTTACTACAGTAATTTTCCATTTTTTCGCTGACAAGGGATCAAATTTTAGACTACAAAAATTCCCGACTTTCGGCAGATCTTGATCTGTCGCAAAAGAACTATATGGAAGCAAACTCAAGCTTATCAAAAAATCGCCATCAAATTATTTCGAGCAATAATTACTGTTTTACAGCTATTAGCAGCAATAACACTCCTTTTTACGCGACCTATGCTTCCTAACCTGAATAATATTTTTATCTTTTTCAGTTTGCTTCCGTCAACAGTGCAAACTTACAGATAGACTTCGAAAACCTCTTTTCCAGACTTGATCAATATTTATGTTTTTCTCAAATTGTTCTCGTCGATCAATCTTAACCGAACATTTCTTTTGCAGAGAGGGGCAGACAGAAAACATCTGTGGGCTCCTCGAGAAAACATCTGTGGGCTCCTCCTATTTCTGAGAACAAAAGCTCAACGCCTTTGCTTTAGGTAGCGAATGAGCATAAGAACGATTCCGAAAAGGCTAACTTTTGTCGGAGGTGAGAACGGGAAAAAAGATAAAAGAATGCAAGGAACAGCAACGAACACTTGTATCTGGATAGCGCACCAGGTAAGGTAAATGTTGGAATGATCAATAAGTCTTGCAAAGTTTTTGAAAAATTGTAACTATTCGTCGTTTCAATATTTGTTCATTCCAATCGTTAGAAAGAGACTCACGTGTTTTCTAATAGTGTTTGAATTGAGAATACATTTTTAATTACGGTGATACAAGCTGATTTGAGTAAACACCCAGACCTTCATTTTTCGATTTTTAATCTCTTGAAAAGAGGAACTTCCAGTTTCTTTGTAAGTTATAGTCTTACGGCTTTACTTTCAACTATTTAGAAAACTTTATAGTAACTGGATGTCTACTTATGGCCATAATTTTCGACTTTCAATACGACATTCGATTTTTTTGAATAATATATCTAATACACAAATAAATAGAGAGCACATGTAATAAGTTAGAAAAAATATAATACATAACTCAAAAGTTGTTTCAATTAGTTATTAGGTAAATTCTTAGCTTTTCCTGGTGCAAGACTTATGGATCAGCCTAATAGAACTAGACATGTAACGAAAAACCATAGCTGCTGGTACACGAGAGACAGACATCAGGATTTGTGGCCATTGTCGCCCAATTCATAAGGATTTAACAGCGGGGCACTCGACAGAATGGAGCGAAAATGACCAGCAGTGTGATTGGATCGAGACTGAACGAAGCGAAAGAGCGTTTTGTCTGGCTTGAGCACAATCGTGCAGTTCAATGTTGTCTGTGGCTGCAAATAAAGTGTTTGGACCAGTTTGCGTCCTTCCGCACGCTGAAGTCATGGCATGAGTCAGCAAATATGTATGTGTCGTCTCTTGTCACATTGCGATTTCCTCTACGAATTGTTTTTGTGGCAGCTACTTCAATTCTTCTCCATGATTTGCATGAATGCGCTGATTTGTAAATTTATTGGAAAAATGAGTGGAATGTCAACATCACATCTGTTTCTGCAGCCAATGTTTTCTCGAATTTTCTGAATACCAGCAGGGTTTTGGCGCTCCCAATATCTAGGCCATGCTCACATTTTTGCCGAAAGTATTTAAAGGCAGAGTTCCATCCTTCATAACTCCATAATGTACTAAGCGTCAAAAAATTAGCTGTTTTTTTAGATCCAGTACTTAGACTTTTCACACAACACATTATAGAAGAGTCGTCCCGGGATCACTTTAGAAACCTCTTGCTTGTTTCCTAAAAGTAATGTCCGGTGGTTGGAAGGCCTTTGGAACCTTTGGTAAGATCCCCACATTCCTGAAAGGATAGCAATCATTACCTCAGTTAACGTACTTTCTTTTCAGCGCTTACAGGGCTGATACTTTGGTTTTTGTTGAGTTTGATAGTGCTCATTATCAAATGCTTGAAGTATTGGCAACTGCGACAGCGACGATTGAAACATGAGCATCATCAGTCCGATGAAACTGTGCCGACGATGTTTTAAGGGATGTATAGTTCAGAATTTCTTGACTTGTATCGTAACATGGTTGAAACAAGCATAACCTTCGATGCGCTTTTACTACATGTCATTATATAATTTTTTACTTTAGATTGTCGAATTTTTTGTGTAAAAATTGATGCCTTTTTCAAATTTAGCATAATAGCAATTAGCATTTAGCATGATCACGTCAGTGCATCAAATGAATGAAAGTCACAAACGTTGCTACGAATGTTCAACTGATCATTCTCAATCATCAGTAGTGATATCTTGAATATTTGCAGAAGTAATTTCCCTGAAATGTGAGTTGTCCTATGTGTGAAGCAAAATCTTTGAAAGGGTTCGGTATTAGTTGGCATTTGAAGAAGACAGAAATATTTGTCTAAGTCTGAATATGCCCATAAGTCCTCCCATTACCAAATAGAAAGAAGCACTCGCTCGCTATTTTCTCTTTGATTTTCTGTCCAGGGAACTTCATAATCCAATGGTTTCTCTCAGAAAATTTATTCATAAATACATCTCCTTCCCATTGTTAGTTATTCAAGCACATTTATGCATTTCATTCTTCTGGTAGACTCCTATGTTTTATGATTTTGTTGGAAGCCATTTCCACATGCTGGATCTACCGAGCCATGCAAACAAAAAATGGTGCTTATTGTTAGTGTTTTCCGCATAAAACTTATATACCAAAAATCTATAACTACATATAAAGTCAAGTCTGTGTATGTATCAATAAATAAGTAAAGCACGGAAAAATGCTCCAATTTCGTAGGATCAAGTTTTGCGGAAGTTGTGTAATCGGCGTAAAGTATGTGTAATGACGAGATTAGCTGGGGTAGAAGGTAATCGCCAATAACTAAAATGGAGTGACTGATGAGAAGTATTAGGAATTGTTGAAAATTACTCTTCGATGGAATTCGGGAAAAATGGACTGACTATTCATGCCATCGTATTAAAAATGAACACCCCTCGTCTAAATCAGCGTCGACTGCGAGGCCTTGAGTTTTTCCTGGAATTTTCGACAGCAAGCAGATTTCTAAATCAGCACAAGGTACATATGATGGTCTTTTGAAACTACGGTAGAAAATCTGCATCATTCACATTCCTTAATTCTACTTCTATCTTTTGGTCTCTAACATAATATATGTTTCCAAAGAATAAAGGGCAAAGGGTTGTACAGCTGCAAAAATAATTCAGGTCACAGTCAATGATTTATAAAAAGAAATTATGTAAACAAAATGGAAAGCTTGATAGTTGGTTGTGTTCATTTCTGCCGGAAAATGAATTTTTGCACATTTTCTCACATTTGTGAGAGAATCACTGAGAAAACGATACTACCGTGTTTTGAAGAGGAGACTTTAGACAATGTTTTCTTATGTGCTAATGTGCTATAAGAACAACTAGTCTCGTTTTTGCCCAAGTACAATTCTGGCCCGAGAAAAACACTTTCTCAAGCAATTATTACATTACGTTTTTTTTTCTGAAATGAGTGCTTCACAGAGAAAGAAAGGGTACTTCAATCAGAAAACAAAGAGTTGGTACGATAAGAAAACTAGCGACATCATTTCTTCTACATTCTTAAAAACTCCTAAAATAATCGAAATTTTCTGTATTTTAAAGATTCCCGGATCTTTTCAAATATGCGGATACGGACGAAATTTCAAGCGTGCATGCTTCAGATTTATGCGACCATTAGAGAGTAAGAGGCGAGCAAATCCGTCTTAACCTACTTTGCCATGATCCGCCGATCCACCATCGTGTACAAGGGATTCCAGACTATTGTTGCAAAGTCGACACCTCGAAGTCTTTTTCATCCATTATATATCCTCTTGATGACTTTCGCTCCAATTACCATCTTCATAGTGATTGACATATGTAGCCTGTCTCTGAATTTTTACTTGATTTCCATAATTTTTCAAGTGATTGAAAGCTTACTACCATCCTAAAAGAAATGTCTTTGATTCTTGTAAAGACTGTTTTATTTTTCTGGGAATATAAGTTCATGAATGAAATTCCTATCAGAGTGATGTAAGACTAAATAGTAATACAACTTCTCTCCTGAATATAAACAACGAATTCTTACCCGTCAAGCTACAAACATAATCATTATATCAAAAACCTCTGCGTTCAAAAGTTCCTTGAAAAGAACTGAGTGAACCTTCATTTAATTACAGCAAAGGTTTTGAGAGCAGCTTTTGAAAACGAGGTTGAGAGCGCTCTTCAATGCTCATCAAAGCAAGCCAGGCCCAACTCTGACTCTGTCCAGTAGGTCATTTCAACACAAACAGTATGAGAAGGGTTGGTAAGAGGATACATAATAATTAAGTATCATTTACCTGTCGTTTTTTTATTTGAGATAAATCGAATGCGTTGGTTTGTAAGCGAAGAGAATTGCTTTAATAAGTATGCGTAGCAACAAGTCTCACCATTCTATAAAATTTTGAAAAAGCCATAGAGAGAGAGAGAGCTTAGACCAAAAATTCAATCTAAGAACTACTATGAGCAAACATGACACCAACATCTCTTTCATAATTTTTTTTGGAAGACAGCATCTTTGCTAAATAAATGTGCGCTAAAGAGGGCGCCAAAGAATATAATTGCAGTGAGTGCAGAACGAATAATATTTCAAGGTAATCTAGCGCTCTTTCTAAAGTTCGTTTTTGAATAATTGCTCAATCCTTATGCTCATACTCTACGGCTGAGCTTAGCAGAAAACGAGATTTTTACATGCAAAAATTTCAAAAATGTGAAACCCCTGCTGAGCATGAATCTTTCAAAGTTTCTGCAAAACAATTCATTTTTTCATACCAGTTGATCAGATTTTCTATTACATAATCAAAATATAATCACGAACGACGACAACAACTTTTGCATCTTTGCAAACGAGATTGCATGAAAATTGGTATAAGAAAATTTACTTGGCCACCGCCCCGTTGCCCTATAAGAGACCCATAACTTTTACTATGAAGACATACAGTTTGCACGAACTGTTTATTCAAAAAAAACCAAAACGGACATTATAATACCGGCTGCACCGATTTTTGTTCTAAAGTTGGTACAAAACAACAGAAAAATCGAAAATTAATAGGCTATTTGTGCGATATGTGCTGTAGGAAACTGTATTAAAGAGCATCATCACCTGAGGTAATATTAGAAGCAAGTGAATTCGTGAGAAGGCAAAAAGTGATAATTTGAAGTACTTCATTAGTTTTCTTTTCTTTAAACCTTGGCATATATCATGACTGTATAGTGCTTATTGATAGCTTCATCTATGCCACAACATGTTTGATATGAACTTTTGTTGAGCCTTATGTTTCGGTGGAAACGCCGTCCTCAAAGGGCTTGAAATTAAGTCGACCACTTCCATTAAAAGGTTCATGCAGCATATACCTCGTCCAGCTCGTGCGTTTTGATTCTCTATTGGGATCGAAGTCCAGCTCCGAGCCGTAGCATGATAAGCTCTCCTAGTCGCCTATCGAGTCTGGTTATAATGAACAGTTCACTTGGCTTGAGTGTGTTTATATAGCTTATAGTTGAGATCAATCGCGATGTATCATTCATTCTAGGACTAAGAGACGCGAGACCGCTTTGCACACATTGTCTAAACAAGCTTAATCGTGTACTTAGCAGGTTTATTCTTGTCATTTAGCTCGCCCACGTTTATTCACTCTTTGGAAACAGGGAAGAACAAACTCAAACATGTTAAGACAATGTCCGCAATGCGGTCACGCGTCTCCTAGTCGTAGAATAGATAATACAACTTGTTCATTCTTGTTATTTAATTTCCGAAAGATATGCGGCCTCCAGTGCTATCCGAGTTGAGTTTATGCTCCTGCCAGTAGGTTGCAACTTATTCCAAATCTTCGCCACCGCCATCTTCCTTTCCATACTTTCCCAGTGGGTTCACAAAGCTCTGTCTTCTCTTGCTACCAAGATAATATTTACAGGTTCCGGGGATGACTGCCGATGTATTAGGTTGGTGCAAAAATAAAACGCATTTTGTGAGCGTTCACTTTGATGGGCTATAACTTTCTAAAAAAATCATATTTTTTAGTGTGGGCGCACATCCACCTATGCTCATATCACAAACGGGCACAAAAATATGGATTGATGAGCAAACAAAATTTTTTTTCTTGAATCCTCGTATTTAACTGTTCATAACCTTCAAACTTTGTTGGTCTAAATAACAAGTAGCCTGTCTTGTAGATGCAAGTCAACAGTACAAAAAAGTTGAAAGGGGCTTGAATAAAGAAGATTCGCGAAAAGAAAAAATAAGAATCCAAATTGTTTGCTTTTTTCGATTGTCGTAGGCCTTGAAATCCCAAAATATGAAGATTTTTGATTTTTTGCGTACTGAACAGCTGAGGATTTCTGAAAAAACTGTCAACAGGAGGCCCACCCTTATGCTTACGCAAAGGTCTGCTCTCGAGTGCGGTTGTATGAAGCTCTATTAAGTTTTAACGAATCAGGCTAGAATATGCTTAGTTTCTTTCAAAGGAGAAAGTTTGATGGAGAAGAGTTGTTTTGAAAGAAGGGCCAGAAAAACGCGCAATACTTTTGCACCGACCTAATAAATGGCCTCTGAGGACGGTGTTTTAGCCGAAACATGAGGCATAGTAAAAAATTCCGATAAAATCCTGTTGTGGCGTAGAAATGGCTAAGCAATATACAAAAAGTTATGTATATGAAAATGTGATACGACGCAAATTGTGTGCCTAATATTCGAAGTAGTATGTTAATTAAATTTGCTGCATCGTTGCATTCCTATGCAAGTATGAAGGTTGCTACTGATATTTTCGAGTCACACTAAACTTCAAAACTCTTGATGTTGTATATGATTCATCCAAATCTCTGGCGTCACTCATTGTGTGTTTCTCTGAGTGGTTTGATCTATCCACCTCAAAGAGTTTCTAGAAAATTATCTCATTGTAAGGTCTCTCGCTAATACAAAATTATAAATTCATTTTTTAGGCCAGTTCATCCCTTTATCATCAACGACTGTGCTGAACAAGCTGCACGTGTTCTTCCAGATACATGTTACTTCTGTACCTAGCACTGATTCCGCTGTCGTCCGCATTTTTCTTCCCAAGCTCTGGCAGATGCCAATGCGCATGCCCACAGCCGGTCGCTTGCGCACCTCCACCGACGTGCGCCATCCCGCTCCCTTGTCCTGGGCCTACGGGCAACGTGGAGCCAGCGGCCGCTCCTGCGCAGACTTACTACCAGGCAAGGAAGACATGTTTTTGTAAACCAGTTACATATTGCTTTCTAAACTTTTGAAGAGAAACTAGATCGTCTAACAATAAGTGTTGGATCTTGAGCAGAGCTCATATTATCATGCACATTTTGTGCAGAGCTACAAACTGCCAACATGAATCTTGTTTTTTCTACAGGTTCACAAAACTACAAAAAATTCCACAGTAATAAGTTGCAACTTGTCCAGTTTAAAGATAAATGTTTTCTCTTATGCTTATATGATCCATTCTCAAAAGTTTGGATAGTTGGAATCCTTCCATCTGATCTGTTTATAATTTCAGGGATCTTACCAGCAGGTGCAACCGGTGACACAACCAGCTCCTCTGCCTTATGCGGCTCCGCAACAGGTTTGTTTCAGAAGACGGTTCCTGAAATTTTCGTCAACATCAGCTCTCAAATACCAAAAGTTGATTTCAGACCTTGCCGCCACCAGCTTACGTGGTTCCTCAGGTGCTTTGCTCATAAACAATTAACTCTGATGAAGCAAGAAAATATTACGATAATTTTATAGCCATCTTACGCAGCTTCTATACCTGCATACAATGCTTTGGCTCCCGTTTATCAGCCGGCTCCGTCTAGCTACCAAGTTCCTGTTCCTGCGAGTGCCATCACTTATACAGCACCACGGGATAACAATCCTGTGCAGAAAATACAGCCGATAAAAACAGTACCCGACAAGCAGTATGATTATGAGTAAGGAAGGTTTCATGCTTGTTTCCACCTGATATCGTCATTACAGGTCATCCGCGCGAGAATCGCAGTATCCAACATTGAATCCAAACGAATCTCCATCAGTGGTAAGAACTTGAGTATTGTTTGCTATAATAGATAATCTGTAAATTCCCATCCAATTTGAAGCTGGAGCAAACAAGACAGATTTTTGAATTTTTTCTTCTTATTTCACAAAAGCTTATGTATTGGTTGTAGTAGTCAGTTACAACTTCGCTGGAAAATTATTGTATCCAAGGATTTCTTTTCAACTAAGTTAGTTTGAAGTGTAGTTCACCCAAGACGCTATTCAGTTATTTCCACAAGCATTGGCCGACTTCAATTGTGCTTCTCTGTAACTACGGTAAAAAGTAGCAATCTCGGTCAATTACTAATATTTTGGTTATCACCCAGCATGGTTCAAGACCGATCGACCTCTCTTCTACCAAACCCAATTTCAGTTCGAAAGTAATCGCATTTCGAATTGGCTTCAATTTTTCTTTCTTCCTTGAATCGCTAACAAATGCTTGTCTTAGTTCTTTACAGATGGCTTCACACAATTTCGAATTTTCTTCCAATTTCTCGGAATTTCGGGGATTGGATTTTCTTAACTTAGAGTGTGTGGTATATACCGGAATCTTCCTTCCACTCTGTGAGCGACATTGTACATAGACGTTTCATCTGTGGCAAGAAATATAACAAAGCAGCTTTTTTTTCCGAACAAGCATTGGGAGACCAAAAAGCTCAAAGCAATAAGAACACTTCTCCAAAAATAAAGTCCTAGCCAAGTTAGTGTTGTGTAAGCGCGAAAAATCATCGAAAGAGTGTACTATTTTGTCAGTAATGTGCTGATAGACGTATACTTCCAGCATATAACAATGAGCTTTTCGTAAACTACCAAATAGATTTGGCATATTATCATTACTTCACACCAAAAAAAAGCAGTGTCTTCAGTATCAGAGCCGGTACAACGCGGAGCCTCCGGATCACACATCTATGGTGGCTTTTGATGAAACGGCCCCAGCAATTCCTCCACCGGTGCTAGAGTAAGTGTTTTGTTCAAGTTTTGTTTTTGATGGTGAAAGCAATGAAAAAAATAAGCTTTTTTCCATTTTCAAAAAGACAGGTCTAGCTCGGTTACTCAGCTTACAAGGGAACGATACATGGGAGTGGCCATTCACAATGATTTGTATAACAAAAAATGTGCCTTTCAATGCTTGTTCAAATACTTTCTTCCGTATCTGCGAAACGATAACCTGGATTATTTTTTCATGAATAAATTGCGCTACTGCGGAGAGTCATAATCAACATTAATTTTTTTCCTTTTTCAAGTGCTGAATATGATTCAGATAGGTATAAATTCAATTATTCCTTTTAGGATTCTTTTCAAGGGCTTCAAACGGTAACCTAGAACGAATTTGGTTTTTACTACCCAAGAGTAACAGATATTCCAAGAGAAAAAGTTCGTAACTTCCCTTAAAGGATCGTTTTGCAGATTCGAGCACAGCTTTAGAATCAGCGTTTTGAGATACATCTTACTATACAACGCATTCCAGATGGTCACGGTCACCTAATATCCTTCTCTTGTTGAGAAAAATCAGAGCCCGCCTTTTAATTTCCACGGCTTGTTTAGGGGGATATCTACAGCCAGTTTTTGCCGCGTTTTATTGATGAAAGGCAACAATTTTGAAAATTAGCCAATGTAAATTGGAAGAAGTGAAAACGTTAGGTTGGAGAAATCGTGCATTATCTGGATGCAAGATAAAAGAATCACCTTGAGAGCTTATCTTCATTTACTAAATGTTGGTCCTTCCCCATTCTCGGAGTCAGGAAACGGCATTAACTTTCGGATCGACTTAATAAATTTGCCATAAACGTTGAAAGAATAGAAAATGTGAAAGCAACACATAGAAATAGCGTTCAACCACTTTCACTCCTCATTGTTAGAAATATTTGCAGTTTACTACTATTATAGTCCTGCTTCATCCGAGTATAGAGGAACTGGAAACGAAGTTACGGATGGTATCGTTCCGATGGATAACGAAGCTCGCTTAGTACCAGCTGCTAGCACTTCGGGTGAGTGTGAGACAAGTTTAAGTGAGATGAAGAGAGCTCTCCAGCCTTCTGCCATCCTACCATGGAAAAAGTGGTAAAACAACAACATGGATAAAACAAACTTTTTCTTGACTTTGACGCCATTATTTGCTCGCGAAATATGAGTTTCGCAAATTGATTTAACTAACAAGAGAGGTCCGATTAGTCGAAGTGATCTTTCCAAATGAGTCTTATACCACTTTGAAGAGCATCAAACGGTGATTCTAAATCTGATTTCACTATCTGCCGAAGCGCCTCTGCATGCCGAGTTATGAATATTTTGTTGGTGCGAAGAATGAGCGCACAGTTCAAGCAAAAACAAATTTTATGGTTTTTTCAGCACTCAAATAGAGCATTCTTGAGTGTGAGTGTTTTGGGCAGAATGGATTCTTCAAATGGAGTGCTTTGATAATCAACATTGGACAGTTTGAGCAATTCTGACTCTCTCTTTTGTTCTAACTATGCATTCAATTTTTCAGCTCAAAAAACGCTTAACTTGGCGTCCAGAGGGCGCTCGGCAGATAACGAAGACAGATTTGGAATCAGCATTTGATGCTCTTCATGGACCTTCCTTGTAAGAAAAGAATCAAGAACAGCCTGACTAAATGCTAGGAGCCGAGAAAGTTGCCCAAAAAAATTCCAAGACTGTCACACTTCATAACTAGAAAGCAGGGACCATAAAGCCAAGCAATTCTCATTCATTTACGAACATCTCACGTCTTTCCTCTTTCAGTTTTCCTTCAACAACTTAATGTTAAAGAAAATAGTGAGCACGGATTAGAGATTCGCAAGCAATTATTAGATTCTCTCATTGATTTGGAAGTGAGTAGAGTGAGAAGGAAATGTTAAATGGGTCCCAAAGTCTACATAAATTATCAACGAAAAATTCAAGTTGAGAATGTCTTTCGGCTACTCTGTTTTCACTAACTGCATTACCTAGTGAAGATGTAGTCAGTTCGTGTCATATCTGCATTATCGTAGAGTTCATCTGCCGCCTGTCAGAACAATAATCAAAACTCAGCATAGTTTCTAAGTCCGCAGCCACAACTGCTGGTCACATACACAATTTTAGCTGGTTTGCAAAATTCTCCTTTCTATTAATGTTTTTGCGTTTCTTGTGTTGCTGTGTTCCAAAGATTTTGAGTCTTTTAAAGTTTTCACCTTTGAAGATTTGTGTGATAAGTCCCACCAAGCATTTCAGCTTCAAAATTGAATGTTTTAAAGTTTGATAGCTACCAAATTTTTATTCAAAAAGTAATTGAGGCGGAAGTTATCAGGATCTCAAAGTGTTGAATACAATGCGCACTTGCAGGAATAGGATTAAGACTAGTTTACATATGTATCCTGCATCTTTTTTATTTTGTGGTTGAAGAGGTTTGAGAGAAGTGTGGCATTTTGAAAGCTTTATTATATTTTGTTGACCAAATCTCGTTCGAAAGTTTGAAATTATAAAAATTAGCGGACACCGAACGAGGTAAAAATGATAGGTTTAGACCTTTTGCGTTGATCAAGAACTAATACTCCCGATACCAGCAACATCAAAAAGCTCATTTTGGTCTCTGTAACTCTTCCAGCTCCTTCTTTCGAAAGAAATGGGAACGATGCGAGCGCATATCAACAACTGCATTCCGGTGCCGTCGATGATGCTCCAGTCAAAATTCCCTTTCACAGGAGGATCAGCACTGAAGGTATGTTGAAGGGGTACATGTTCGGAGCCTATAAAATGCTTGAAAGTTATCACCACAATCTTTTCGCTGCATATTGCTAGTGCACAGGACAGCACATAACCTGGATTTGGATAAATTCTCATTCAGGCTTCGCTCCCATGGAGATGTATACGAAGCGGCATATGGTGCTGAAGCGAATGAGAGTAAGTAACATTAACTTTCAGAGAAATAAATGCCTTTGTGCACTCATAGTGCTGTTACGTGTTTTTTGGGAAAATACTTCTATTAACTTTTATTTACTCGGCTCTACAGATTCGGAGAAGTGTAGATCAGGCCGAAATAGCTTAAAATTTATATTTAATCACTTTACACCGAGATGGTGTCCATTAAAGTTTTTTTCGGCAAAGAACCTCCTCCGACATCTACCATTTTGTCAAAACAGCTTTTCCCTACCTCAGTGTGCTTCCAGATCTGGATGACCGGTAAACAATAGCACAGTCTAACCGCCTCCTGCTGTGACCTTTTCATAAAACTGAAATTTTTGAAATACATTGAGAATGGGAATAGCTGTAGAATCCAATAAGAGGACTTTTCTATCCCACCTAGTAACAATAACGGCCGGCTCTTCTGTAAGCAAACATCTGTTGGGAACATTTCAAAACGAGGGCTATAAAGACTACGAAACATTTTAATCTCATTATCGACATCAGAAATAATTTTTGATGTCAGTTGTCTAATTTCAATGCACACCAAGGAATTGGGAAACACAATACCGCTTTCAATTTGTGAAAAGAATTACCGCATTTCGCTGGAGCTCGCCGGGTTTCGCGTCGCATCGCCGCCTGCTTCAGGGTGAACAAACTTTGAATAAAAGCACTTCAACTCGCTTGACAAGGTGTCTTTGGAGGCTGTTTGGGAACAGCAGTCGATCAATTTCGTGGATCTTTCTAGGCTCGCATACTCATTGGGCATTGAATAAGTGCTCTGAGTAACCTACCATGAGCAAATATCTGGGAAAATTAGTAAAATCCGACCGACTACCGTGCCCAAATAGGTTTTAACACCTCCTTGTACTGAGTTTAATGGTGCTTTTGGAATTAGTATGTGGCAAAATATGGCGATGCGAAGTGAAGTTCGGCAAAATCCGTCGTGCGTGCTCTTTTCACATATTACTAGTGGTATTGTATATTGTCATGTGCGCGTCGGAGAACTGTCATTGACTTTCAAACAAGAAAAACGAAATGGTGATATGCTCTCTTGAAAAGAAAGTTTGTAACAAAAACATATGCGTGCACCTGGGAAAGCTTGAAAGAAGTCCAGCAATAACAACATGAAATCACCAGACCTGAAAACTGCAAGAGACTATTTTGTTTTTCTCTCAGTGAAAAAATCGGACTAAGAGTGAGCCATGGTCAACAGTTGAGAGTTTATCTAGATTTCACATACGAAATCACCACAAACCATACTTGGCTATGTAGCTGCATAACGCCTACATATTCTTTCTTTTTTCCTTTTCCTTCCCCCCCCCCCTTCTTCTTCTTCTCTTTCTCTTTTACCCTTTCTTTCCTTTCTAGCATTCGTATAAAAGCAGAATATAATTCTTGACACCCTTCAAACATCTTACCTCATAGAAATCGAAAACTCAAAGAGCATTGTTAGTTCTGAGGATAATATAATAGTAACATGAGATCATACGTCAAGTAGAATCTCTATTAAAACCTTATTATTATATACATCTCATCTCAAAATCATTGCTAGCAGAGGTACAATCAGAATACAAATTACAGAATCTTGAATCTCACATATTTTTACAGAACGCTCGACAATTAGCCGCCACAGTGCCACGAACCAACACGACTTGCAACTCGCACAAGCTCGCCAACGTCATGGTTCGGGTAAGTGATCCTCATTCATTGGCATGAAGCTAATTGGTCCAACATTGCTCTCCAGGCCCTTAACTCTCACAGCCTTATTACATAAAACTGCTGATTATGACGCCTACCTATTGGGAAATTCCCGTTTTCTTATGTAGAGATAGATTCATCAAAATCAGTTCTTTCAGCAGATTTTGCGTTCGTTTTAGGTGATGGTGGATGATGTTTCCGTCTCAAAACGGACCATACTACGAGCAACTGAAATCGCTTTCGATGGTGATAAGTGCGTTGCGTCTTTCAAAACAAATATTTACACGATGGGAAAATAGCGGATTTTGTTTGAGGGATAAAGGGAAAAAGAGTTTGTTTGCTTTCAAAACACCATCGATCGAGTTCTATATAAAATCGTCGTCAACTCCATTGACATAAGCGAATGACAATAGATCAGTAGCTCTATTTTCTCGAACATCTAATAAGTGCTTAGCAGAATACTGCTGGGGAATTAGGAAAGTATGAAAGTTATTATCCAGAGATATTTTAGCGGTTTGGATTTACATGATAAGATGATCATGTACTTGCCTTGTTTGTCGGGTTTCTAAATGTAAACAAAACGTTCTTTTGGTCTCTCGGTTTTCTCCTGCTTGGTAAAATATAAAGGATGTGAGTATAATTTGAACCCTCTTGAAATATTAGGATTGGATTGCGAAAGACTGCTAATAGGTGCTTTTGAATTCCGAATTCACAATCCTAATTTTTACCACATTCACGTGATCCAGTGCAATTTCAGATTCGACGTCTTTTGTGCGTCTGGTGAGTTCAGCTACAGTATTCATTCACGAAAGTATTGTGAAGTGACGAAAGACGACATCACTTGTTTTGCCTTCCGATAATCTTGGTTGATATATTGCATTCATTTGTACTTGTTCGTTAAGCTGTTTAATCATCTCACAGCTCCCGCTCAGACCTCTTATCTTTTATTGCCTTCATAATCTTCTTGTGCACTTTCAATTGTTGTTTCACGTAAATAAAACATATTTTTTGCGCCTCACATGATGCATGAGTAGCAGTTCAAATATTCCAAAGCTCGAGTTACCCTCAAAATTGGTTTAAAAGCTAAGCAGTAGTCCTTTGAAGCTCCGCTACCATCGCTTGAGCTCTTGAGCTCCCGCTAAGACACTTCAGTGGACCTTAGTGCGCTTAGTGTTTGCTCAAGTGATTTGCATACAACAACGAATCGAGCTTCGCAATTCTGTCGTTGACATAGCTTGCTCGCAAACTCTGGCATTTTTATACTATGCGGATTGTCCTATGAGTTCGTTCTCACAGAATCCTGGCTCTTACTATTTTTCTGGAGCTTGTATCTCTATCCGTAGAGAGCAGCAAGTTCTACAGAAAGATTCTCAAAGCTCAATACAAAAGAATGCTTTGAAACTAAAGCCCAGGATCATCAATTCAGGAAATGCCACGGATTTCCTACTTGCGCATAAAATTGACAGCTGAAGTTTTCAGGTGTAAGAGAACTTGTTGGAATTTCTGAGATGATTTGCTGTCACATCTCATAATCTTGATTCAACTGGCTTGGCTCTTGGAAGGCGGAGCTTTGTGATTTAATTAAAGGCAGCGTCCAGGCAGATCTGGACCTATAGGGCTTTTACGTGGAAAGTACTTTTGGGGCCCTAACTAAGGCACTGCCCAAGCGGCAGCTCAGGTAGTGCTCTAATGGCTGAGATATTCCCCTCGAAACTGGCCCCCGCGAACGTATTCGCATGGATTCATGGCAGTTTCGCGCCAGGATCCACGCTTTGCGCCATGAATCCATGCGAAACACGATCGCGGGATCCAGTTTCGAGGGGAATATCTCAGCCGTTAGAGCACGACCTGAGCTGCCGGTTGGGGAGTGGCTTAGTTAGGGCCCCAAAATTACTATCCACGTGAGACCTTCATGTTTCCAGACTTGCCTTGATGCTGCCTTTGATTAAACAGCATGTGCATCTTTGTGAGACACCCTCTCAGGCAATCGCCGGGGGCAGGCGGGCACCGGAAAAGTATGTTCCGTGTTTCGCATGGATTCATGGCGCAAAGCGTCGATCCTGGCGCGAAACTGCCATGAATCCATGCGAATACGTTCGCGGGGTCCAGTTTCGAAGGGAATATCTCAGCCATTACAGCACTACCTAAGCTGCCGCTTGGGCAGTGCCTTAGTTAGAGCCCCAAAAGTACTTTCCACGTAAAAGACCCATAGGTTCAGATCTGCCTGGACGCTGCCTTTAAGGACGATCGCGCCTGCGACGCAATTTGTTTCTCTTCCCTAGCCATAATTAGGTACGAAGCCCCGCCTTCCAGCCGCCAAGCCAGTTGAATCAAAGAGTACATACACCCTCCCCCCACTTGACCTATATTAAAATATTGTAACTCACATACGCTTTTCCATATTTGAAAACAAATCTATTTTCTTTTACTAAACTTAGGAATGGGATGGCACATGAAGTAAGGTAACTTGGCTAAATCTGAAAAATGAAAGAATGTCGCAGATAACGCCGTTGGGAAGATTGTAAGTTCAGAAAGATACAATCCAAAGGAATGATGTACATCAAATCTAGACTACCGAAGCTCATGTAAATGAATTTCTGAACTGCTTTATCCCATTTTAATATATGGCCTTCAAAAAATAAAAGAACAAATAATCCGGTTCCTCCTCTTTGAATCACGTGAATTTACGTAGTGAACTGTAAGCATATTTCCTCCTGCCATGTGGTCTCGAATTAAACGTATGCCGTGAAAAAAGATATTTTCTGCAACGGAGGAGGCTGCGATGCAAACCTCTAATGCACCAGATCCGGCTTTGAGAGCTCTAATTAAGACGCTTGAACCCATTTCCGCAATTTTCGGGTCCAGTGATGCTGAGATCCTGAATTGATTGCTCACTTCTCTTAGCTCTAAAGTTCTTTTCAATTTTGATTCGCTTCCAAACAAAGCCACTCTGGCTTATGAAACACTTCCAAGATACATTCAAACTGGCCTCAACTTCTGGCCACTTTTACAAGGCTATTTTCACTGGTCTGATTATTAAATGGACGACGGAGTTTTATGGTAGTTCCAAATGTTCCTCCTTTGTGCTAGTCATCAACCTCCCTGCTCCATAAATATTGATGGTTCACGGAGAACGGTTAGGAGGTATAGGTCATTCGAAAAATCGTGACGATGGCGCGACCGCCCGCGACCGCACGCGCCTCCCGGCAACCGCATTTTCTTGGTTTCCATCTCTACTCGAATGTTTTTCTGCTTACATATGACAATATTTGAACATTGGAAGTGGCTGAGCTAAGAGCTGAAGTGATGTCTTTTTGTATGAGTGTTTTCTGCTCCTGTGGGCGCGAAGACCGCAGTCACGTCAGTCGTCACGATTTTGTAAACGACCTGTACGTCATCGCGACTTTTTCGCGAATTGATGCCGCACACGGTTTCAAAAGTTCATGGCAGCACTCCTTTTGGTCACTTATGGCATCGAGTCTCCAGTTTTGCCGCCGTGCCACTTTGCACCACAGAGTTTTTGTGGGACCACAAAATCTGGGTGCGGCGTGCGCGGCAAAGCGACCTCCGCCAGCGGCCTATCCATAGGTGCGATAAGGGGAGTCGGGCTCTCCCCAGGTGAAGGGGGTCTCGGCTGTTCCCGACCTTCCAGGGTGAAGGGGTATGTGGGTCTGGAGGGGGGGGGGGAGGAAGAGAGAAAAGGTAAAAAAGCGTGGTATGAAGAGCTCTAATTTGTACCTTATTTAGGCACAAAATGAAAAAATTTTTTTTAGAGTTTTCAAAAGAAATTAAAAAATTAAAAAAAAATTGATTATGAAGATCTGTGCTCCTGTTTCACTGCATCAACAAAAAATGAAAGCACTAATGTTTATCCCAAAAGATGTACAAGTTAGGAACAACTTCATTTCCTGCACATCATCATCAACAATATCACTATCGCTAACGTCAGAGACAACAAGTTCGCTGCCTGAAAAATCTTCTTCTTCCTCCAAAGGGTCATCGGAGTAGAAGTAAAATCGCGTGCAAAAGCGTTCTGAGTCGAAAATGGATTTGAAACTTTCTTGTTCTTTTAAGCGCTTTTGTGATTTTTTTTCCTGGTAGCACCAGGAAGTCAGCAGGTAGGTGACCAGTTTCTCCATACCATCTTTTAGGATATTTCAAAAAGTCATACGGTAACAGCCTGTCTGGATCACTTATACCAACCCTTCAAATGAAGTTTTTAGATAACAATGTGTTTAGTAGAAAGTTGACAAATCTTAAGTATTTGCTTAGATGCTCTATCGTTGTACGACTTCTGCGTTGTGTTCTGATAACAGAGTAGATAGAAAATTTCTTTCTCTATCTCTGCCGTGCTAGTCGAAATGGAAACTAGCTTTGCTAGTAGGTCCATCAGATTTTTGCGGTAAGTAATGGGAAAAGAGCCAGATCTCATATGCTTTCGCAACACGGGAAGGAAATAGTGCATACTTTTTGGGCCTTGTCGAACTCTGGCTTCACCTCCTCTGGCATAAGTCCTGTTGAGCTTAGCGTTGAGGTGTTGCCTGCTTGTATGAGTGTATTATCCTTCTGTGTGCGGAAAGACCGCAGTCAACTCGTCGTCACGATTTTAAAAATGAAGCATACTATGCTGCGCGTTGGTTTTTTTTTCAATATCATAGGTCATATTGTCACAAGGCGAATAACTTTCAAAAGCATAAAGCACAGAGTTGAGTTCGCACTCCAGCCGGGATCTAAGTGCAGTATTTATGCTTTGTACTAACACCTTCCTTTTGTTCATATCCATGTTTGTGAATTTAGCAGCCTTGAATTCTTCAGCAACCTGAAGATCAGCAATGGACTTCCTGGACATTTCCTCATTGAAACTAGACAATCTGCTTGGATTCCTTATGCAGCAAATCAGAGAGTTTCGCTCAATTGCCTACTTTGTATATGGCGACAACATTTTCGTCGGCGTAAGATTCTCCTTCTGCCTCGCTTTGAACTAGAACACATGCGAGTCATCTGCGATTTTGTAAAGTCTTCTGCTTGCCGTTTCCTCTTCAAACTGCCAACCTTTCCAAAACACTGAGGGATATTTTAATAACATGTTATTCTTCTGAATGTCTTAGAGTTTTTGATTCATTGAAACCAACCATTCTCTACAAATTAGGCAAGGTGAGTCTAGAGCGTTTTCACGAAAGTGACTTTCTTCAGCACTAGGTTTATAGAGTATAGATTCCAAAAATGGGCGGGTTTTTGTGTGAAGTTGTGGAAATTCACCAATCTCCCATAGTTTTTTGAGTGTGTGCTAATAATGATGGCATAACTGTCAATCAAAAGCGCATTTTTTACCAAAAAAAACATAAACATATAACAACGATAAGCACGCTCAAATAGATGCGTTCGCTCACGTTCTCGTTAATGCTGATAACGATGTCAATCCACAGCACATTTTTTACTATTAACTTGCTCCACCTCGCTCTTATTAGGTCGTCCAGAAAGTTTTTGCACATGAATTTCAAAATTCTTAACTTCTGATTTTTCCAACCGATTTGACTGCTTTCACTTTTATGTGAAAGGGTAAGTCATGCTCTTTATAAGGACGTCCCAGCTGCTTAGTAATGGTCATCTGTTGCATAGATAGAAGCTCAAAACAAAATCACTCAAAATTTGAATTTCTGTGTAGGGTCATAAAAAATCAGAAACTTGCAACAAAATCGGATCAGTCGGTATTGTAGGTTCTTTCACCAGCTCTTTCTAACAGTGCAAAGTTTGCTCCGATTGAGCGTCTCCATGAAAAGTTATAATTTCCGAGCAAGCAGTATAAAAAGGCGAATTTGATTTATTTTGGCATTTTTCAGGTAAATCATAACTTTTCATGGAGACGCTCAATCGGCGCAAACTTTGCACTGTTAGAAAGAGCTGGTGAAAGAACCTACAGTAGTGACTGTTCCGACTTTTGTTGCAAGTTTCTGATTTTTTATGACCCTACACAGAAATTCAAA